TTTTCCTTACTTCTCTCCTCATTGTTTATATTCTGTATTTTCCTTACTTCTCTCCTCATTGTTTATATTCTGTATTTTCCTTACTTCTCTCCTCTTTGATTATATTCTGTATTTTCCTTACTTCACTCCTCATTGTTTATATTCTGTATTTTATACACTCCATCTATCTTCCTGGTAAACTAGCGACACACAACAAGGTCATATTTTTAACAGAACTGTTTAACAATGATCAAAGGGACTGATGTATAATTTCAAGTGATCTTCAATCTAAAGAGTGGCACACATGATTCACAACGATATCCTTTAAACGTTTTATTAAGTTCTAATGATAAAGGTATATCGTCCTTTTACTAAAAGAGTTTATGTTCAAACAGAAAAAGACGGATGACTCCATCTTTTAAACAGAAAGTTGTTTAATTATATGATTTAAGAATTTATAACTTTGAAAATAAATATGCCAAGAAGTGATAAGGTTGGATCTTGTCAAATATGTTGATATTTTACAAGATTGGATTTAGTCAAATATGTTGAGATGTAACAAGGTTTGATCTAGTCAAATATGTTGAGATTTAACAAGGTTGGATTTAGTCAAATATGTTGAGATGTTACAAGGCTATATCTTGTCAAATATGTTGAGATGATACAAGGTTGATCTAGTCAAATTTGTTGAGATGTAACAAGGTTGGATCTAGTCAAATATGTTGAGATGTTACAAGGTTGAATCTAGTCAAATATGTTGAGATGTAACAAGGTTGGATCTAGTCAAATATGTTGAGATGTTACANAATATGTTGAGAAATTACAAGGTTGGATTGGGATGAATATGTTGAGAAATTACAATGTTGGATATGGATGAATATGTTGAGAAGTTACAAGGTTGGATTGGGATGAAAATGTTTAGAAATTACAAGGTTGGATTGGAATGAATATGTTGAGAAATTACAATGTTGGATTGGGATGAATATGTTTAGAAGTTACAAGGTTGGATTGGGATGAATATGTTGAGAAATTTTATGCTTGGATTTGGATGAATAAAATTAATAAATATAGGAGGATCGTGTTTACTCAGCGTAAGCAGAAACCATTTCCTAGATGAGTATCCAGTCTAAAATAAGAAAATCAAGATATTTTGTTATTTCTAGGCTTTCATTGCCCCTCGAGACCCTTTTCTTAGTATTAATCTTAATACTGTATCTTCCCTCGCAATCCTAGTCTTTGTAATAATCTTCATAATATGATTTTTTAAAATATTGTGGCCCATTAACTTCAAATACAATTTTAGTCGGAAAACAATGAAATTGAAAATTTAAGAATGCAAAAAATAATGATTATGGGTTTTTTATTTTGTAAATGATTATTTCTGAAGTGTGTTAAAAGCTGGAAACTTTATAATAGTGGATATCTTTTCTTAATCTCGAGACGAACCTAATCTTGTGTTTTTAGTTTGAAAAGTGTAAAATAAGTGCAACCGATCAGTGTAGCGTATCTGAAGCTGGGGCCCGGGACGCGCCATTTAATAAAAGTTCTCTCGTTCAATAAGGATTAATATACAGAGACGGGAGGGGCTCTCTAATTTTGAAAAACCGGATTTCGATTTTCTGCACTATATCCATAAAAGAGTGGATTAAGCAAGAATTTAAAATATTCGGATTAAGCAGTCGGAATTAAAGGTATCCAAATCTACAGTTTCCAGTTATGGAGGCAGATTTAATAAAGCAGGTTGACCTACGCACTGTCAATTCAGCAAGTTTTCTACCTGAAGAGAAGTGATAAAAACAGCGTCTTCACGGTCCAGTTTCCAATCATTAAATCGTTAGCGACATTCCTTCCTAAATAGAAAGACAGCTTCATACATTTCATTATTAATTGGCGAGGAAAATATAACAGTAATAATATAAAGACCAAAAATATAAAGACCAAAATATAAAGACCAAAAATAAAACGACCAAAAATAAAACAACGAAAAATATAACAACGCCTTGACCAAAATTAAAACTTCTTAAAATAAAACCACCAAAATATGATTAGCTAAAAATATAACCAATTTTTAACCAAAAATATACATGCTTTATTAAAAATGTAACCATTTTTTTACAAAAGATATAAAAATTTCATTACCAAAAAAAAATAATCATTTTCAACCAAAACTACCCCCCCCCCTTTTAAGTCGTCTTTACCAAAACCAAGTCTTTACCAAGTCTTTGTTCAAATTTATGTACAGGGTGTCCCACGAAACATGACAATTGGTGAATAGTTTTAAATGTCTTCTTCCATATACAGTATAAGATATTAAAGATTTCTTGCAGTTTATTTCATTAAACAAAACTTTTACTCAAATATATATTATTTTCTTATCAATTTCACTGCAATATGACGAAAATGTGAATGTGATATTTATTATAATTTTCTTTGGCATCAAAGAGCTTAACAAGTTTAATCACCAACTGTCATGTTTCCTGGGACACCCTGTATACTCTTCAACAAAGAAACAACAAACAGTGAAATGTTTTGCTAAGTGAAAGATCAAATCCATAAATTAAATTGCAATCCATAGTCAATTCCACTTAAACAACCAGGTTTATATTTTCAGAAGTAGTTACAAATGTTTTAAGCTTTTCAAACCCTCAAACCCTTATCACTCCTTTCACTACACCATGAAAAACTAGTTAGATATATATTAAATATTTAACTAAATTTATACATTGTCATGTGTTTTACTAAACCTGTATTTTATTACAGGTTTGAAATACGTCTATTTAATGATGATTGGAGACTACTGTGTCCGAGTTGAGGAGCCTAACCACCGAACCAACCTAACCAAAGAACCAACCTAACCAACGAACCAACCTAACCAACGAACCAAATAACCAATTAACCAACCAAACTAACTAACATCCTATTAACGACCAGCCCCCCCCCCCCCACCCCCGACCTTAAGTTCTTACAATAAGGTATACATTCCTGAAAGAGACTATGAAAAAGAAAGCTTACATATGCACTGGATGCAACAAGTATACACGAATAAAGTCTTTCTTGGCATAAATTGCCATTTTACAGTCAAAAATTACAAGGCTAGTAAACATATTTTTGTGCGTATAAGGTTATATATTTTGTTTGTTATTTTTTTGGTAGTTATGTTAACAGTCAAAAATTGTTATACTTTTTGTCAAAAATGGTTACATTTTTGGTCAAAAATGGTTACATTTTTGGTCAAATAAAGTTATATTTTTGGCTACAAATGGTAAAATATTTGTTTTAAAAAATTTATATTTTTGGCTATAAAATGGTTTTATTTTTGGCTAAAAAATGGTTTTATTTTTTGGTTAAAAAATGGCTTAGATTTGGAAAAAAATGGTTGTATGTTTTGTTAAATAAATGGTTTAGCCAAAAATTATTTTTCTTTTTGTTCAAAAATACTAATATTTTTGGTGGAAAAAAATAATTATATTTTCGGCCCAAAAAATGGTAGATTTTTTTTAAATTTAGTTGAGTTTATCTGAAAAGATGATGAAGTAAGTTGAGTTTATCTGAAAAGATGATAAAGTAAGTTGAGTTTATCTGAAAAGATGATGAATTTAGTTGAATTTATCTAAAAAGATGATAAAGTAAGTTAAGTTTATCTAAAAAGATGATAAATTTAGTTGAGTTTATCTAAAAAGGTGATGAATTTAGTTGAGTTTATCTAAAAGATGATGAATTTAGTTGAGTTTATCTGAAAAGATGATGAATTTAGATGAGTTTTTCTGAAAAGATGATGAATTTAGTTGAGTATATCTGAAAAGATGATGAATTTAGTTGAGTTTATCTGAAAAGATGATGAATTTAGTTGAGTTTATCTAAAAAGGTGATGAATTTAGTTGAGCTTATCTAAAAGATGATGAATTTAGTTGAGTATATTTGAAAAGATTTTGAATTTAGTTGAGTTTATCTGAAAAGATGATGAATTTAGTTGAGTTTATCTGAAAAGATGATGAATTTAGTTGAGTTTATCTAAAAAGGTGATGAATTTAGTTGAGTTTATCTGAAAAGATGATGAATTTAGTTGAGTTTATCTGAAAAGATGATGAATTTAGTTGAGTTTATCTAAAAAGATGATGAATTTAGTTGAGTTTATCTGATAAGATGATGCATTTAGTTGAGTTTATCTGAAAAGATGATGCATTTAGTTGAGTTTATCTGAAAAGATGATGCATTTAGTTGAGTTTATCTGATAAGATTATGAATTTAGTTGAGTTTATCTAAAAGATGATGAATTTAGTTGAGTTTATCTGATAAGATTATGAATTTAGTTGATTTTATCTAAAAGATGATGAATTTAGTTGAGTTTTTTTAAAAGATGATGAATTTACTTAAGTTTATCTAAAAGTGAAAAGGATTTTTGACAAGATATTCTAAAATACACAATATCCATATCTTGATGTTTGTTATTGATAGATTGACATCTGGTTGAAAATACTTTTTATTCAAGAAACTTTTTCGTTTTAGTTTCCCTGGTAAATAATAAAGTTTTAAATCAATATGAAACAAATTTTGATGCCTGTTTATAGAAACTTGTAATATACATCAGCAAGCTTTGTTATATTGTAATTTTCAAAAATGTGCAACAAAATTTGAGTATTGAAAAAAGAACTTTGAAGTATGACGGAAGAGCTTTGATCTATGATGTTAAGGACCAAAATTGTATTTTTTAGAGTGTAGGGGAGGGTAGTACTTTTATATAGAGTCCAATCTTAATTCATAGTGAAGGATGTATTTGGTCTGTATTCTGAAAGGATGTATTTGGTCTGTATTCTGAAAGGATGTATTTGGTCTGTATATTCTGATGAAAGGATGTATTTGGTCTGAAATTTAAAAGGATGTATTTGGTCTGTATTCTAAAAGGATGTACTTGGTCTGTATTCTGAAAGGATGTATTTGGTCTGTATTCTAAAAGGATGTATTTGGCTGTATTCTGAAAGGATGTATTTGGTCTGTATTCTGAAAGGATGTATTTGGTCTGTATTCTGAAAGGATGTATTTGGTCTGTATTCTGAAACTATGTATTTGGTCTGTATTCTGAAAGGATGTATTTGGTCTGTATTCTGAAAGGATGTATTCGATAAAGATATTGATGGATTGAAATCTGGCAAAGAAAGTTTTTACTTCATATAAATTGTAAAGTTATTCAGTGAAGAGGAAAAGTTCCATTAGAATTCAGATTCATGAGAAATATACTGACTAAATAAATATTATTCTTAGTTTAAAGGAACAGTCCTTGTAAATTCAAATGGTTTTAAATCTAAGAGTGGTACAAGGTTTATTTACAATAGTATCCTAGGAAACTTATCAGTATTAACTTAAGAACTAAAAACCTTTTCAATTTTGACAACTTCTGCAGCAGAAATGCAAGACATTTTTTTTGCAAAAACCAGTATTGAAAATAATCAATAAACTACAGGGTGAGTCAGGGTATGTTTTTTAATAGTTTTTTTTTGGTACTCCAATGGTCCCAAAAAAAAACCGTGAAACTTTTTTCTCTCTCAAAATCAAAAATGTGTATAAATTTTATTTCTGTCAAATTTTAAAATTTTGAAAATATTGAATTGCACAAAAAAGATACAATTTTGCATCAGACGCCACTAATCACACTTTTTTGACACATCCTGTATATGATTTGGACCTAGGAAAGGTAAAGCCATAAGATCATTTTTAGTCAGAATACACTTAATCTTTGTTGTTTGTAAACAAACGCAACCGAAACTGGACTTGAACCGAAACATGAAATTGAACCCAGTATTCAAACTTTAGTCCCAGTCCAGAGTTATAAAGTTACAAATATAAAGATAATGTGAAGCAAGGTTAATTAACTCATTATTTTAAAATATTTATCAAAACCCCTCCTCCTCTAATGTCAAAACTGTAATTTATTGGTTCGACACAAGCCTAATTAAATTGAATGTAAACATACCGATAAATCATGCTTTAAGCCACCAAAACCGATTTCATCGTGTATTCCAGAATAAATTTGTGTACCGTAAATAAATTTTCTTGAATTCCCTTGATTTGGGCCGATTTTCATGTCATCGACCACAATTGAAATCACATCACAGTTCCCTTAAGCTTACTTTTACAATCTTGCATTGTTTTGTTCGATTGTGTTATGAAAACCAAGCACAATGTTGAAAACAGATCCACATGAGTTTAGTGTAAACATAGATTAATAATAAAACAGATATAACACTAGATGTCGTCTTTTCAGTATTTAAGAGTTTTTCGTTCACAATAACCTTTAGGCAGAAGCCCATGGTTCCGTGCAGGCAGCGTTGAATTTCAAGTCAAAGAGAGAGTAGGCATGTAGCTCCTTTGGGCCTCTACCTCAGGGTTATTATGAACAAACACCCCTAAATCTTGAAAAGACTACACCTAGTGTTCGATCTGTATTGTCATTAATCTATAGTTTAATGTAAGCTTTTAAACAAGTTTCTTATTTCTCTTCTGTAAGTCCACAACTAGACAAGACAATTTCCAAAGATGTTACCCTTTTAATTTAATTACTCAAAATTTTAATATTATCCCTCCGCATAAAAAAAAATCTTTTCTGTTTTTAGAGGTCCAAAATATATTCAGTTATACATCTCACTGACTGTTTACTGTATCTATCAATCTATCTATTTATCTATCTATCTATCTCGGTTGTGTTTGTCTAATATTTGGGCCTAGTTCCTCGAGTTTCCGGTTTACTGACAAGTTGTCACAATATAATCTACAATCTTTACAATTACATTTATTTATTCATTTATTTCTTTATTAATTTGTTTATGTCCATATACGTTAGTTTTTTTTTCAAAATCATGTATATTCATGAAACTTAAAATTAAAAATATTATGTCTTCTGGAAACCAAGGTTATGGAAATACAAATTTTTATGAAACTATTTTTGTTTTCATCGCTGGAATTCCATTTTTTTTCGGAAAAGCTCTTGCCTTTAAAAGGACTGTAAAGGAAAAATGAAAGGGGGTATAGACTTTAGCTCTCGATCGCGACCCATGAAAGTCATATCTGATGTTCATATCTCGAAAAATACAACTTTGTCAAATTTATACGAAAATTAATATATATACAATTTTGTATGAAGTAGTAGGTTTAAACAGATCAAATTCAGCAAATAAGCAACCAATCTGAAAACGATTTCATTCATAATATTATTTATACGTCCGTATTACTTGACCAGAAATTCCACCAATGGCAGTGCAGTAAAGTGGTCACGTGATACAGGCGGAGACACGTGATCAGTATACTGCTCTGCCATTTGTGATAGTTCTGGTCACGTGATTTAAATTTAAGATTTTCTAAATTTTACATATATGAACTTTCGTATGATTTTAACACAGTTTTATATCAATTTCTCGAGACAGGAACATCAGATATAACTTTCATGGGTCGAGATCAAGAGCTAAAGTGAATGGCTTTCAGCCTATTCCCCCTTTCGTTTTTCCTTTACAGTCCCTTTAACTTTACTTTTACCTTCAACTGTAAAAAGTAAATATTCTTTTAAACGACTTTTTTGTCTTCAACCGATGTAACTGCGCAATATTTTAGCAAACAAATGTGTAAAACGTTAAACCCAGCAGTTGAGAGGAAAATTATTAAAGAATAAGATTTTAAGGGTTGAATTATTTTCTAATCATAGAGAGAACAATGTTGTATTTCTTATTCCAAACCACGCCGTAGAGTCTTGAATAGATCTCAATCACTCGTTCAACCGCTATCGCTGATTTTGTTCTTGATTTTGGTATTTTTTCAAATTTTTTGAAAGAGTAACATAAATGTGTTTGAATCCCCTATTATTCTAATTTTATTTCAGATTATTAACAATAAAATAAATTTTTTATCAAGATTTCTTATATTTTATTGTAAATTTTTCTATTGCATGCATTTAGAGGATATTGGATGGGTCACTCAGAATGACGCAGCCAAGAAATTTCTAGTTTGTTGCTCAATTACTTTGTCTGCTATTGAATATTTTTTCCAGACTTATCCGATTATTTCCTGTCTATTGACTATAAGATTTCTCCATCTGGTAAACCTATACAAACAATTGTAAATATTAATATTATCATATATTTACAATAACAGAATGTATAATATTTATAAACTTGAATGTATAATGTATAAAAAGTAGAAGGTTGGAAGAAAAGAACTGATGCACACCGATGAGCTGGCGAGCCTACTCTGAGCCTGGGTTGGGCGGGGGTTAGTTGGGGAGGTTGGGTTGGGTTCTGACGGAGATTTTTCTTCAGTAGTTTTACTTGATGCAGGCACATCTGTCGAAACTTTGCTTTTCTCGTCATTCTAAATATAGAAAAGAAGTTTAGAAAATGTACAAAGAAAAATATTTACAATAAACATATTCTAAGTTTTTATCTTTATACTTATATTTTCCCTGCTGCATGATTTCTTAAACCTTTGAAATTTAAACTTGAAATATTTGATATAAAGTTTTGAACAGTGATCAGGTTGCATTCAAAAATTAGAATTTTAACGCAATAAGTTCCTTTAAAAACAAATCTCAAAATATGATAATATTTAGCAATAATTTTAATAAGCAAGTTCATGAACTGCAGGGAAACATGAATATAAGGAAACAGATAATATTGATTCCATACAGTCGGCTCTAAAGTCTCATACTTTGCGAGTAACCCTGTAAAGGACCGGGGTTACTATTTTTTATCTGTTGTTTAACGGTCAGTAAAAGTGACGTAAAGCACAAGCCTCTTAAGAAACAATTGTTTTTAACGAATGACTTTTTACCGTTCATTAATAAAACATTTTCAGCAATTATTTACCAAAACTATAATAAGTTAAGACAAATTTGCTTAGTAAATTTAAACGGAAAAAATACTTTTTTTAATCTTGGCAGTATTTTTCGAAAAAAATTAATTAACGGTTCTGCTTTTAACTAAGAACTCAATTGGTATTTTTCCGTTTATCTGCTGAATTTTCTGTTAATTTTTAGAATTTATATTCTGATAACTTTGCCCATCCCTACTAGTACTGTGTGCCCATATACTTTAACCTTATCCTCCCTCCACGGTTTAGGAAGTATGATCAAATCATGATCAGCACTAGTACTATCATAGTTCTTGATTACTAATCCACTCTTACAACTGAAAAACAAACAAATTTAAAATATTAAAATTTACAGAGTAGATTTTTAGGTGATTTGTATTTACACAGAGGCATTTTCCCCAGGGCGACTTACCAAGTGACAAATTCCCAAGTGGTCATCTTCCCAGATTTGCTATTTCCAAAGCGGCAACTTCCAAAAGGTTAGGTTAGGCCCTCTGAGGGGTCGCAGGCTGCAATGTGGGCCGAGCACTGCGGCCAGGATTGACTAGGTGGCCGAGGAATGCGGATAGAACGGGCTGGGGCCGAGAGCTATGGCTTGGTTATGCTTGGGAAGGTGTCGCTTGGGACCATGCACAGTGGGAAAGTTGCCACTTGGGAAAACAACCATGGAAAGTGGCCACTTGGAAATAAATCATTTGGAAAAGTACCTAACATCGATTTTTATTCTCGTTAAATTTTTTTTCAAACATGTTTAAAGACACCACACATCAAAAATGTTCTTTATTAAAGGGAATGTACTGTAAGCGTAATTTTCAAGTAACCTGTAATCAGTTTTCAAGATTATAAACATTGCTAAATTTTTTATACTTGATAATAAAAAAGCTGTCAAGGGTACCGTAGTAAATCAGGATTTTCATCCTTGCACGAAGAATCACTTGAAATTACGCTTACAGTCCCTTTAAGACAAAAACTTAAACCTGAGCAGATCTTTGTTGACAGTTAGAGATTGAGCTCCATATTCTTGTAAGCTCTCCTCTGTACTTCTAAACATAAATATCTAGATTTTAGATTCATTGGTTCCTGTTAGAAGAACCATCATGGTACAGTGTAGTGTACCTGTACTCTGTATGTTTACATAAACCTTACAACAGTGTAGTGTACCTGTACTCTGTATGTTTACATAAACCTTACAACAGTTTTCTGTACCTATACTTTATATGTGTATATAAACTACAACAGTGTGATATACCTGCACTCTGTATGTAAACATAAGTTGTTCAACAGTGTACTATACCTGTATTCTGTATGTGTACATAAACTGTACAACAGTGTTTTATACCTTTATTCTGTGTGTTTACATGATTACAACAGCTTACTGTACCTGTATATGTATACATGTGCGTATACAAAACTTACAACACTGTATTTTACCTGCACTCTGTATTGTATACATAAACCTTAATCAGTGTACTGTACCTGCGTCCTGCACTCTGTATGCGTAAATTAACTGTACAACAGTGTACTTTACCTGCACTCTGTATTTATACATAAACTGCACAACAATGTACTGCACCTGCGTCCTGCTCTCTGTATGTGTACATTAACTTTACAACAGTGTACTGTACCTGCACTCTGTATGTGTACAAGATAAACATTTCCCCGCTGATGTATAAAGTTGACGAAGGAAACCAAGAGATCCAGACCCTTTCACCTAAAAATAAAACAATAAATGTTACAAAATGCCTGAACCATGAAGGTAAAAATTGTTTGGTGTAGGTCACATGACCCCAGGGGTGGTTTATTGCTCGTAAAGAATTTAAGAATAGTGTCTGGAAAAAACAGTTATTATTTTTAAAACTGTTACTAGTAAATTGGGCGCGAAGCATGCTAGAATTCATGTTGCTTACAAAACTGGAATATTCACTGATGTCATAAATTATGAGTGAAAAAGCGCGTTATTCTTCAACTTGATCTCTAAATCTAGAAATCTAGCTTCGTTAAAAAAATGACCGAATGAACAGCACTGTCATACTTAAAGTAAATTTTCCTTTTATTTCCTTGATAAATGAAATAATGTGTTAATATTATTATTATGAGATCTACTAAGTTTGTCTTCTTGGGCAAACTTATTACCCTTTGATCTTAACAGTTAACTTTAAAGTCAGAAGCAGGGCTTGCAGACAATCTTGTAAAATTTGCAAACCCACTTAACAATAAGAAAACATAAAACGAGACATTTAGTTTTAAGAAATTTCTTTACACTCTTATATATTTGGAACCTTTTTCAATAAAAGTCGTTATTACAAGGTTAAAAAGCAAATTAAAATGAAGTTGTGGAGGAGCTAGATTGTCTATTCCACTTCCGGAGCAAACCAAACCAAATATATATTCTGTAAAATATTTATTCTCGTTAGACTCTAGATTCAATATATATGCAGTCTGTTTATTTCTCTCATCTCTTTGCATCGCTACATTGACCCCAACGTGATATTGTCACTGACGAAGTTCTTTCTCTCGCTGATGTACCTGAAATTGGTTTCGGGTACTTGTGTTTTTTCACACCCACTTACCATAGTAGGGTTTCCAGCGATCTCAAGATGTTTTTCTTCAGCATTGAGTAGTAAACGATAAGATGCCAGAAAATCCAGGTAGTGATGAGATCTCTTGCACAGTCCCTTTAACAACAGTTTCTGTGAAACTTTCAATGTTCTGGATCGATTCTCACGAGGTTGGTTCTTGCAGGCTGAGGCTCAGTTCGAAAACAAAAGAATAATTTAATCCAGGACAAGATTCACACACTGTGTCACCCCTCTACCTCAGGATGTTACTTGCAGACTCCTTGACTTAGTTCGAGCCCCCCCCCCCCGCAAAGCCAGTTCACTGGTTCTGTTTGTGCAAGTTTCTGAAAATAATTCACTCTCCTTCTACTTCCTTCCGTTCTCAATCTAAAGGAATTGTGGAGAGGTACACGGGCAGCTCATGGTTTCCCTTTCAGCTCGTCTTGTAGTATCTAATTGGTTTCATCCCCTTCCCCTGGTCTTACTGGGTCTCCAGAGCGTTCTTATGAAGATTTGTCAATATCCTCCTCTGAAGCTGTTTTTGGTTCTCCGTTGGTTTTCCCTAGTGAGTTCCTAGATAGCCCTGAGCTCCCTGCTCCAGAATATCTCCGCCGAATCCAATAAATCATCAAGAATGATCCAATTTTTCCGTCCCATCAGAGTTCAGCTCCGTCAAATCCAGTTCAAGCACCAGCTCCGTCAAGTTTGCTCTGAGCTTCCCATGTGTTTGTTAGACAGGATTAAACCAAACCTCCACTTTCTCCACTCTACAGAGGTCCTTACCTAGTAATCTCTCATTCTCCAAAGTATTTTTCTCTCCAGGTTGATTCCAAGTAGGATTGTTAATTATTTTTAAAAAACGATAGTTTAAAAAAACTGATTGCTTTTACAGACGACCCACTCGTTTTGAAGTTTTTGAGAACAATCATTTTCATAAAAAGATTAGCAACCGTTTTTTATGAATTAGTTTTAGAAAAAAAAAATTGTCATTGATAAATATGTTAATGATCATTAACAAAAGGTCGTCGTTAACGATCGTTAATGAAGGGTTGTCGTTAATGATTGTTTATGATACGACAAACTTTATAAAACGGTAGTTTTTGAAAAAACGATCGCTTTTGAAAAATAAAATTACATGCAACTTTATCTAATGTTGTCTAAAATGAAGTTAAAAAGTTGTGCTAAAACTTCTTTATATTTTCTTTAAAACTGCTCAATGATAAGTACCAATGACCTTTAGGTTGGTTTCCTCTTTCCTCCTCTCTTGTTAACGATCGTTAATAAAGGGTTGTAGTTTATTAACTATCGTTAATGAAACGACGAGCTATATAAAAACGATCGTTTTGTTTTCGATTTTTCGTCGTCGTTTTCATAACGAAAGAATCATTTATAAAAAAAGAAAACGTTAACATCCGTAGTTTCAAGACAGACTCCGTTTGCATTTAGACTTAGATTCAGTCCGTTTATTTCTCTACAAGGTAAAAATAAAAATGCATTTCAATAACTTTTTTAGTAAAAAGTTTAAGAACTAGAAAAGAAACATAAAAAATAAATATTTCTAGATTAAAAAAGCTTGTTTAATAGAACAGGAAATTAAATTAATCAATCAATGTTTAGACTATATATAGGAATAATAAATAGAATACTATTTCATCCTTTTTGTGTTTAAAGCTGATATTTACAAAAAAAGAAAGGGTTTAATGTTTTAAAAATCCGTTGTTTTATTCTGTCTTGAAAGGTTTGTTTATACCAATTTGACTAATTTTTAAAGTAAAGAGTAAAGAGTAAAGAGTAAAGAGTAAAGAATAAAGAGTAAAGAGTAAAGAGTAAAGAGTAAAGAGTAAAGAGTAAAGAGTAAAGAGTAAAGATGAATGATTAGATTTCCTATTCTCCCAATGGTTGATCAGTGGATAAGTTGATCATCATATTTTCCTCAGACAAAGATAAAATATGATTACCATCCTTTACTCTTCTCTCCCTTTGGTAATCAGAGAAACGAGGATTTTTTTGAAAATTATTCAGAGAAAAAAATCCTTTTCAAGATTCATATTTATGTTGAGGTTTGGCATTTTTCGTTCATAATAATAATATTTATGTTGTTGCATTTCAAACTTATTTGATTTTCTCAAAGAGAGAAAAAAAACGAAGAGGTAAAGCTTTCACAACCGACCACCCTTTTAATTTATTTCGTTTTTGTTCTCATTTTCGCGAAAGAGATTGAACGAAAATTTGGAAACTCTACCATATAAAGATAATTCGAGAATGTTGACTGCGAACATTTAACAATTTTCAAATAATTTTTTTGGATTTTAACATGATTAGAAATCTTTAAAATATCAAAGAGGCAAAATGTGCTCATATCGTATTTTTTTCTAATTCAGAATTACATCAAGAGAAGGGGCCTTGTATACTTTTTACTTTTGGAGTAAACTTAATTATGCACCATATTTAAAAATAGCTTCATAAGTCTACCATACAGAAAGAAAGAAAAAAATCAGTCAACTATGGACATCTAGAGGAATATTTTGAGCAATCTACCGGATAATAAACCTAAACAAAGGGGGAAATGGCAACTAGCCAACCCTCTTGTTTTGTCAAAAATATTAAGTTTCTAGTGCATTGCTTTAGCTAAAACTTTTAATAACCTTCTTATTTCAAACATTTTTATTCTTTCCTCTCTTCAGCTCTTTATCATAAACGTACATGATAGTGTTCATTTTGATATTCTTGTCCTATAACAAACTCTAAATTGGAATGTACTGCAATAAAAAATCCTGTGTATAAGTGCAGGGAACAATTAATAAAGGGGATAGAAAAGAAAATGACGCTGGTCTGGTTTGAGAAAGCCAGTCGCACTGCTTTGCAGATGGGTTCCTTATCACACACGCACACTCTTTCGGTACAAACACACACACACATGACTACAGACAAGAAAAATGCAGAACAATGTCGTCAATTATAATTAAACTTGAATAACGAGTAATTTATTATAATTTATAATTTATTTAAAGAAATTATATTTATAATTTATTTAATGAAATTATATTTATAATTTATTTAAAGAAATTATATTTATAATTTATTTAATGAAATGATATTTTCTTGCATAAAAATTTCACTTATTGTGTTGACTTAAATAAGATAATATTTATTAAATGTATATTAAACTTATTTTTAATAATCAATAAAAAACAAAAGTACTCTCCTAGACTTTACAAATTTCGAGATTCTTCTGTACTTTATACACCGACAGTACAACAATTTGGTTCCTTATTACACATGCACACACTTTTGGTACAGACACACCACCATGACGTTTCCGCCCCCTCTGTCTAACAAGGGTGGGGGAGTGCAGAAGTCCTCAATTAGTAATTACCACCACCCATACATGATTGCTGTATGTGTGTCCTCAATTGGTAATTTACAATTGAACTGCATGAACTGTATTATCTTTGTAACCTGATTATTTATTTAAACCTTGACTATTTGATGTAGAAGAATTGATATTGTGAAATTACACTGTGCTAGTTGGGTAGGACAAATAGGCCTAGATAGGCCGGGTACTGTAAAAAGGGTCAGACCGGTACTTGTTCTGCGTCACTAAGCCCGGTACATGGGATCGGTCCGGTTCGAATTCAAATTGACCCTAGTCCTCCGTGAAGTATACCTGTGATATTTCTGCCAAACTTCTACTATTATAACCATGCTGACCGTAGGCGAGCAGCCATCCAACAGATTCACAATCACAAGGAAACTGGTTTATTTCTGAAAAAAATAATACACTTTAAAGATAATGTTCACGTAATTTAAAGTATCCTTCTTTTCCAAACTTTATGTTATATACTCTACAATAATTATCTATCTGCTACCTATGTCCACGTATGAAGAATCTCTCGATATTCTATCAAAGCTTGGCATAGCTAGAGAACCGAATGGAAGTACTAAAAAAAACATTGTATTTACTAAACTTGTTTATTTTATCAACAAAGTAAAATTACTGCAATTGATTTAAAAAAGTGAATTTAGAACTTTACAAAATGTAGAAAAGAAGGAGTTTAAAGAAGCTTTTGATTTCTTATTAATTTATAAAAACCCAAACGTTATATTTAAGTCTTTTTAATTTATCTAACAAAAATATTTTTTTTCTTAAAACTGGCCTGAAAGATTTAAGAACCTAAATATCAATTTTATAATTGGAGATACAAGTAGAAATTTGTCTACTGCAATTTTTTGGTTAAAAGATCGTGAAAAGCGAATTTACTTGCAACAGAATTTATGAAGGTTTCACATGAAACCTAACAATAAAACTCCGAGAGCTAACATTAAAATTCGCAATGCAGAAAATATTGTAACAGAATTTATTTCTGCTGCAAAAAAATTGCAAATATTTTATTAGTCTGTGAACTTTTAAAATAAATTTAAGAAATTAGTGTGTACTTTATAAAGTTTTGATTGGTTCCCGGATTTTCTCAAAAAATTTAGGATATTTCCCAAAAAAAAAATTCAGTTGAAATGAAAATAAAATTTAAATTAACTTAATATTTTGACTTCTGGCTTCTTTCAAAGCTTATTTGAATTAAAACAGCCATTGAAATAAGACAAATACACGCACGCTTCATAAAATTACCTTCAACACTATTTTCTTTGGAAACATCGTGTTATAAAGTTTTTATATAGTGTTATAAAGTGTTATAAAGTGTTATAAAGTGTTATAAAGTTTTTATAAAGTGTTATAAAGTGTTATAAATTTTTTCAATATCTCAAAGGTTCTTGCCTTTTTAGATTATAGTTTGTCCCTGAGAAAAAATTAAACCTAAAAAGGCTTGAACCTTCTTGATAAAGAGAAAATTTCTTTATAACACTGCGAACCAAAATAACAGTGTTATAAATAGTTATTTTGATAATAATATTTTCCTTCTAGCTTATAAAATACACTTGAACATACATGTAGTTTCCAAAAAAAAAAAATAAGAATACAGAACGAAAAGGTTTAGTAAACATTTTAGAAAACATTTCTTTTTTAATTTAGTTTTAAAATAAATAAATACAATTAAATAACATCAATAGATGTATTAACTTTATTTAGGTTAAACATATTTCCCCACTTTATATTAGAGACAACCGAATCCTTTCAGAATACACAAGTTTCAAGTTTACTTTGCGCTTTAAATTTATCATGTTTTCTTTTAATATGTTTTATTTCATTAAAACGCTTTTTTGGATATCATTATTTATTTTAATGTTTATGTAGTCTCTTATATAGAAAATAGACCATAAAACTTAAAACGGAAATAGAATGTTCTCATTTTGAAAATACATTTATTCGATCCATATATATTCAAAAAGTACTTTAGCAAAGAGATTTTTTTAATATAAACATTTTAGAATTTAGATTTTGGTCATATTTTTGATTACTTATAATACACAAATACAGTAAACATAACCAAATTTTCCATTTAGATTATTTGTTTATTTTGTTTTATTATTTGTACATCAAAAAGAAATGAGAAACCTTTTTGATGCTGGCCATTTGTCCAAATCCATGAAAATTCTGGTAATTTCCCATGATTTAACCCGAATATTATTTTGTATTTTTTGTAATTTTTTGATTACTTGCATAGGCACACATATATACAAAGGAATTGAGTTTTTGATTACTTGCATAGGCACACATATATACAAAGGATTTGAGTTTTTGCCACAAATTCTGATTGTTTAATTCTTGTTCTTTTCAACCCGATGTCGTAGAACTTTGATATTTTAAACTATGAATTTTATTAGATCAAATAGTCAAAGTTTGAAATTTCAAATGTGTACACCCTCAGGTTCTAAAGATATTGGTATTAGAAAATTTGAGTTTGTGGCAAAGACTTAATTCCTTTGAGATTTAGTCATTTGTTCTATTAAAAACCAATAAATGCAAACATTTTAGTTTTGGTCATAAGAAATATAAATTTCTCAACAACATTTATAGATCGATTGATCGATTGATTGATCGATTGATGGTTGATTGATCGATTGATGGTTTGTTTGAAATGAATTTGTAAAATACAAAAGGATTTCATAATTTCTGTTGTGTTCATGATTTTACAAGATTTTTTTCCCGAGTGACATTTTCGGAAGTTTTAGAAATCTGAATTTAATAAAGATTTTAGAATAATGTTTAGTTTACAATTTTTTCCTGGGTCCGAGGGAAACAGGTTTTCTCTAAAAACAAATCCAGTCAGCTTAACCTCTGCCAGATCAGCTGAAATTAGAAAATAGATAAAAATCAAAATACATAAAAAACTTTTCTCGCAAACTATTTGAGTAATACTGTTCTTAACATTAATATTTTCAAACCAAACCAAAACCTCTGCCACTTAAAGTTATCCCGTGGAAGGAAATGCCTAATAGTAATGTGAAAAGAATGCCTTCTTTGGAATTCAAACTATCTGGATCAAGGGGTTTAAGTAAACTTCTACCTGGATCAAAGGGTTTAAATAAACTACTACCTGGATCTATGGGTTTAAGTAAACTACTAACTGGATCAAGGGGTATAAGTAAACTGCTACCTGGATCTAGAGGTTTAAGTAAACTACTACCTGGATCTATGGGTTTAAGTAAACTACTACCTGGATCTAGAGGTTTAAGTAAACTGCTACCTGGATCTAGAGGTTTAAGTAAACTATAACTACCTGGATCTATGGGTTTAAGTAAACTACTACCTGGATCTATGGGTTTAAGTAAACTACTACCTGGATAAAGGGGTTTAAGTAAACTACTACCTGGATCTATGGGTTTAAGTAAACTGCTACCTGGATCTATGGGTTTAAGTAAACTGCTACCTGGATCTATGGGTTTAAGTAAACTGCTACCTGGATCTAGAGGTTTAAGTAAACTGCTACTTGGATCTAGAGGTTTAAGTAAACTACTATACCTAGATCTATGGGTTTAAGTAAACTGTCTGGATCTAGAGGTTTATGTAAACTGCTACCTGGATCTTGAGGTTTAAGTAAACTACTATACCTAGATCTATGGGTTTAAGTAAACTGTCTGGATCTAGAGGTTTAAGTAAACTGCTACCTGGATCTTGAGGTTTAAATAAACTACTACCTGGATCTAGAGGTTTAAGATCCAGAAATGGTTTTCCTCCCAGGCTTAGAAAAGTGTTTCCTTGTATATCGCATAATCCATATTCAACCTGGAGAAAGAAGAAGAGATATAAGGACCTTCATCTTTAAATAGAAGGAAGTAGTTTTCTGTATGTCTTTAAGTATATGTCCGATCCTTCCCCTTGACGGATTTGACTCAAATTTTAATTGGGTAGCTTGTTGGAACTACGGAAATGTTATTACCTAAACTGAAACATTTTAACTTGAGTTGATCGCAGTTATATTAAGAAAAAGTTCAGATATTCAGTCAAAGCTGGGTTCCATAGCTAAACTATTACATTAAACCCGGATAGGGAACCCAGCTTTTTCTGGGTTATTACCAAAATTATCGTTATTTTCATAATTATCAAAATTATTATTACTATTATTATTATTATCATTATAAATATAATTATAATAATTATCCTTATTATTATAATTATTATCATCTTTATTATTATTATTATGATTTTTATTAGTTATAATAATTCTCAAGTTATTTGTATCATAATTATCAATATTATTACTATTACTATCATTATTATCATATATGTTATAATAATTATAATTATTATAATCATTATCAAAACTTCCTTTAGCTCATATAATTTTTATTTTTATCATTAGAAATACTTGTCATAGCATTGTTATATTCACCTCGAACGAAGAATCATGCACGTTACCAAACCAGTTGTAAGACATTGAAAACTTATCACACCTTTATACAAAATAATATAAAGATGCATCTAAAAAATTTTTAAAATTTTTTAATTCATACCCCCCCCCCCAAAAAAAAAAAGTTTTTGAAACCTGACAAGATTTCAATTATTTTAGCTTGTTTTTTTTAAACAATTAGAAAGTTCTTTAACACAAAAACTTGGGCGTGAACTTAAAGCAAGAGAAGCTGGAAAAAAGCTACCTGGCTTTAATAGCATGAGCAGCTAATGATGCAAAATGTGTCATCCCCAATATATTAAACTCTCCGCATCTAAAATATAAAAAAACGTCATTAATCGAAGTTTATACATCAGATTATGGACATCACCATTTTCATACATACTATGTATTATAAATTGTATTATGTATTATAAATTTATATAAAGGCTTTTTACAATCAAAACTAAATATTTTGAGCCCTAATTCAATAAGAATTTGAGCCTCGTCTCAAATCCGCCAAAAACCGGTTTCATTTTAAACGTTTCGAAGAACTTTGATTACAAGAATTTTATTTTTTAAAACTGAATGTTGATAGAGATATTTTAATTTCTAAATTGACTAGAAATTATCAATCAGTTTTTTCTTTGTAAGAATTTATACATTATTAACCCAATAAAAGAATAATAAAAATTGCACGAATAGCAAATACAAAGTGGTGAAGTAATATATTTACATATTTAAACTTCACAGTTTGATATAAATCTGCATATTTGATGTATCTGATCTAGGGATAATTTCAAATAAAATATACAAATCAATCATCAAATATATTTCAGGTGTCAATCAACCTCAAATCCTAAACATGACAGGAGGGGGTGGGGATAATTCAAGTGAATTAATTATTTGTGTAGACTTTTCCATTTTACCTGAAATTGAAAATTATTGATTATTGTAAATGGTCTTTTTATGTTTTCATATAGTAGTTTCTGTAATTTATAAACTTTCGGACAAAAATCCCAGATTGCGAAAATTTTTAGTTTGAACAAAAGACGCGAGTCTTTGCCACAAGCTCAAATGTTTTAATCCCTATATCTTTGCAACCCAATTCTGATACATCAAATTATCTCAGTTTGAATTATCGAAGGTCTACACCATCAGGTTGCAAAGATATGGGGATTAGAAAAATTGAGTTTTGGGAAAGACTCAAAATTGCACAATTTGATCGGTTTTAAAAAAGTTTTTGTATGGTCTAGTCATGGTTTTTGGTAATTTTTGCTAAAGGAATTGAGTTTTTGAAACAAACGAAAATTATCTAATCGCTATATCTTTGTGAGCCAAAGTCCATCAGGAATTGTAAAGATATAGCGAATAGATAATTTGAGTTTGTGGCAAAAAATATCAAAGGTTTACACCAGCAGGTAAAAAAAATATAGTTTTGTTTTTTACAAAGACTTAATTCCTTTCTATGTAGCTTTTTGGTAATTTTTGCTAAATTTGTATTTAGCTTTTTGGTAATTTTTGCTAAATTTGTATTTAGCTTTTTGGTAATTTTTGCTAAATTTGTATTTAGCTTTTTGGAAATTTGTGCTAAAATTTGAATTTAGCTTTTAGGTAACTTTTGCTTTATCAGGAGTATGATATCATTTTGGACATTATTTACTAGATTAATCAGCGGATTTTTTTAATTTTCGTCTATCAATAATGATAAAACATAAAAATAAAAAAATAATATATTTTTTAAGAGAATAAAATACCTGTTTAGTTTTATTCCCCACATAGAGATTCGATCAAATTTGCTGGCGAATATTGAAAACTCCTGAGTACAGCAAATATTGATGAATAGTTTAGCAGGACAGGCTGGTTAATCATTTATAATAAAAACTTTAATAAAACTTTTTTCTAATTTAAAGAAATTTTCTCTCTGTTTCGAGAATATCCAATTAATTTTTTTCTTCGTCAAACATTAATTCGATATTATAGTAATTAAATATTTTATCCTGACAAAGGAAATAGGAATTGAATGTAAACTTAGATTTTGTTATCTCTATATCTTTGCAACCCAATTCCATAGATTAGAAAATTAGAGTTTGTAACAAAGGATTAATTCCTATTGTGATCAGAAACCCTTTTTCAAGGTCTATGAGTTGCTTTCCTGAACAAAGTCGAAAGCAAATGACATTGGTACAACTGTGGAGATCTTTACTTCCCCCAGATAAAACCGTTTGGTGATCTCAACTCCTCGGAACGCATAGCGGCGCACCTAGAAAAAAACAAGATTTATTAAATATTAGTCGAAGTGCCCGGCGTTGTCCGTACAATAAAAAATAGAAATAAAATGTTGAGCAAAATATTGTAAAAAATCGAGGATCCCTGACGATTAAATGAACAGTCCCTTTCATGAAAAAAAAATACTAAAGTATAAATCCAATTAGCAATAAAGAACATGTCCAACTTTTTAATTTTTCTTTTCTTTTTCGGCATTTTTTAAAGTCTGAAGTGAACTTTTTGCCAGAGATTAAAACGACATATCTTTATTATTATTTCTCAGATAAAGGTTTAAAGCTTGTTTCGCTGTAAATAGGAGATGCTACATTTGCATACTTTAAATAATTCTGCATGCTTTCTTTAAATAATTCTAATTTCTTGACCTGAAGATCTCTTATGTTTTGAATCTCGAAGGTTTGAAGTTTAAATGATTTCCCTCCTGACCCTCTAGACTCGTAAAGGTCTGGGTGAAGAATCAGTTTTCCAACATTTCTGAAAAAGCAACAAATTTAGATTTTCAGAAGTTGGTGTAAATAGTTCATCAAGAACACACAAAATACTTTGTCCTTGATCGTTAATTCAAATATTGTTCTTTAAAAAGACAGTTAACTAAAAACTTAAAGCTTTGAGCTATCTCTAATTAGACGCGACGGGGGGAAGGAGGAANGACCTCCGTGCCCGTTCAGGGTTAAATAAAGTTGAACTATACCTGACTGTGATATTTACAAGATTATTGATATGATTAAACAGTTTAGTCTCCAGCTCTACCTCTTTACAGTTTTCAATCTAAACCAGGATTTTCATTTTTAAAGTACAATCTTGACCTTGACTTTTAGAACTTGATCTTGGACTGTATAACTTGAACTTGAACTTGAACTTGACCTTGAACTTTAGAACTTGACCTTGACCTTTAAAGAACTTTTACTTGACCTTGACTGCGACCTTTTTAACTTGAACTTCACCTATAAACTTGACCTTGAACTTTAGAACTTGACCTTAGCCTCAAATTTAAACTTCCCCATCACCTTTACTATGATTGTTACTAAAAGTATGTACATGATTGTGACCATGCATGATCTTGACTTAACACTTTATGTTGACCATGACCGTGACCATGACATATATCTCATTAATATTGAACTTGAACTCATCAATATTGAACTTGACCTTATTAATATTGAACTTGACCTTACTAATATTGAACTTGACCTCATTAATATTGAACTTGACCTCATTAATATTGAACTTGACCTCATTAATATTGAACTTGACCTCATTAATATTAAACTGGAGCTCATTAACATTGAACTTGACCCTAATATTGAACTTGACCCTAATATTGAACTTGACCTTAATATTGAACTGGACCTTAATATTGAACGTGACCTTAATCTTAAACTTATTATTGAACCTGTATGTATTCCACGTTGTCAGGCAGGGTCCCTGGACCAACCTTTACAGATTCCCAGGATTCACAAATGAACCTTGAGACTGGTCCCTGGATCTCCCACTTGGCTCCTCCATCCTAGAAATTAATCACATGAAAGCTTATTGAACATTTGCACCTAATAAAAGGACTGTAGGCTTATTTCCAAGCGGCCCTTCATAAAGAGAGTGGAACGGATTCACAAAAATACCATTTTGAATCTTGTTTAGATCAAGAAAAATGAGATATCGAATATTTATTTTAAAAACCTGACGTATATATTTTCCATATTATTATTCAACTAAAGAGATAAAGAGTACTGTTGTTAATCAGACTTGTCCCTCTCTTGAAACACTAAGGGCCAAAATGGCAATATAATGATTTGAAGATAGATAGATAGAAATTCGGACCGGTACAACGAAATCTTCATGCACTGGCCGGACTGATAGTACGTATTTTAAGAAATTTTCCAAACCAAATAATTTTAGTTACCGAACGTAAACAAACTCCATGTGGAAACTATCAGTACATGGTCACCTCAAGAACTGTTTATTCTTGTCAGTTTAGATTTTTTGCAATTTGCATAAATTTCGTTTAAACCCAAAATTGTGAATATCTCCTGATGTATCTAAAACTAATATTGAGAGTGAAAACAAGATTAAAAATAAATTCATCATCAAAATTTAATTTATTCAATCAAAAGAGAAAAACAATTGTATTTGGAACATGTTGACCAATAAAGATATATTTTTATAATGCCTAAAACTTGAGTAAAATAGACCTAATGCATTGTTCAGTCAAACATAAAAATAAAACATTTAACTTTAAAGTTGCTAGTTATTCAAAATGTCCTCTAATCTTTATATTTGGGGCATTTATTGCTCTAATTATGAGATCTATTAATTGATAGCCTTCCACGTCTCAAGTAGCAAACAGTTACCAAAAATACAATTGCGAATTTACAAAGCAAATTGTCTCAGGGTTTCTCCGTTTCCTTTTTAGAATGTTTCGATTCTTTTTCTGACCCACGATCCAGCAAAAATCTAAAACTTATTTTAAATATAATAAAATATGAATTTCACACTAAAATAAAATTTTGCACAAGACAACAAAAATCAAATTTTTAAAGTTGCCATAAATACCCGTATTAATTATGATATTTGGAGGAAGTTGAGTAAAAGGTTTTTTAAAAGTTAAAAGTTAATTTTTGCTTTTCTTCCTGAATTTAATCAAACTATTAGGTATTCATCAAATAGTTCATAAATTTTGCATTCAAACTGTTTCAGATGGATCGAGGAGGGGGGAGGGGGCGAGTTGCAAGAATTATTTGCACGCAATTATCTGTAGTTCACTGCAACAAATTATGCAAATTATTGATATTTTGAAAATTTTCTTTGTTCTTAAGCTGGAATGAAATATAAAATGAAAATTGTCTCGACCTAAAAATTTTTTTTTTAATTTTAAATTTTTTTCTTTAAATCAATTGATTCATAATTGTCATTTTTACATAAAATAAAAGATGTGCACACAGATAGAGAAAACATTCAAAATACTCTGATTTCTGGGACACCGTTCCGTTACTGTTAGTGACAAAATTCCAACATCTGACAATAATCTTAGATAAAAATTGCATTGTTTGAATTAATGCCATCTACAACTACACTCTACAGAGTGTCCCATATCACATTGGATTATTTTCTAGATTTAACGCTGAAATGCGTACATAATACTAAAAAAACCTGGAGTTTTCTGCGTGCAAATTTTTATATTATGCTTATTAAAAATGTTTATTTTTTATTTTCTGGTTCGTCCCAAAATTCGCAATTTAAAGGCAGTCAAAAACAATTCGAAATGATTTTGGGACACCCTGTATATAAATAGACCATGATATCTGTTTGTCTGTTTCCAATAATCATTAAAACCAAAAAGATTATAGTACAATAGATGGCACTCTCAGTACAGCTGTATTCTGACGTCACAAGTGTCAACTTAGTTTTTGTTTCCGACAAAATTAAAGAAATGATTTTGGAATAAAGGGCTTGTCTTACAGAAAACTAAGTGGAATTCTATGTGTTCTTTAGTTTCTGTTTTTAAACTTTTTTATTTAATCTTGGAAAACATGTCAACTAATGTGAGAAAATTTCGTTTTCATTTTCATATTTGAAGTTGTGTATGGATGGTTCATTTCTCTGTTGCCACCTATTGTACTTGATAATATATTTCAGCTAAACCGATGGAGCCCAAAGGAATTGAGTCTTTGCCACAAACTCTGATTTTCCAATCCTTATATCTTTACAACCCAATGTCGTACACCTTAGATATTTCAAACTGTAAATTATGATAGACCAAATAATCAAAGTTTGAAATTCCAAAAGTTTACACCAACAGGTTGCAAAGATATAAGGATTAGAACATTTGAGTTCGTGGCAAAGACTCAATTCCTTTAGTGTCACAACTCACATGATCCCAAAGAAGATTGATTATGAATTATGTATATATGGTTAAAGATAACAAATTAGACGAGGCAAATAATGTCGATATATTGGTGAGTTTTAAAAATTTGTAAAAAAACAGAATATAGCTTCCAAATGTGATTTATAAAGAAATTAGACAGCTTATAGAGCAACAATCAACACCTGAAGTAGTTTTTAGAAAAAAGGCATGAAACCCCCTGGAAGCCATGAAGTGTTTATTTTTGTATGTTTAATACACTGAGACAAATGGTTGCGTACCACACTTTCAGATATTTTGAAGTACAGATCAGACTAATGGGCTACTTCAGATATTTTGAAGTACGGATCAGACTGATGGGCTACTTCAGATAGTTTGAAGTACGGATCAGACTGATGGGCTATTTCAGATATTTTGAAGTACGGATTAGACTGATGGACTATTTCAGATAGTTTGAAGAACGGATCAGATTAATGGGCTACTTCAGATATTTTGAAGTACAGATCAGACTAATGGGCTACTTTAGATATTTTGAAGAACGGATCAGACTGATGGGCTATTTCAGATATTTTGAAGAACGAATCAGACTGATGGGCTATTTCAGATATTTTAAAGTTTACTCGCCTCACTCTCTAGTTTCCTAATTATTATATTTTCGCAACCTAATGGCGGAAAGGTACCGTTGATATTTCAAACTAGAAAATAAGCTAGATTAATAAAGTTAATACCCAAATTAATTGTACCAACCATAAATGGATTAAAAGTCTTAACTGCACAATTATAAAGATACAAGACTTTTATGGCGCTACGCGCCCCCTTTCCTGAAAGTCGGCCATTTTAAATCATCTTCAAATGTTCTCGAATTTTTCTTTTTGAATTTGCGCATTTTCAAAAAAAAAAATTTCCCAGAATTATTTTTTTCATTTTTGACGGCCCATAAACCATTCCTGGGGTCATGTGAGGTCCCACACAATATTTGGGCCCGATCGGTTCAGCCAAAGGAATTAAGTTTTTGCCACAAACTTAGATTTTCTAATAGAACACAATTTCGTTATAGGCCTTAGCTTTCTCAAACTATAAATTCTTTTGGATCAAATAATTTAAGTTTGAAAAATCAGAGGTTTATACAATCAGGTTGCAAAGATATAAGGACTAGAAAATTTGAGGTTGTGGTAAAAACTCGATTCCTTTAGACGTTTATCGGTTACATAAAAACAACCTAACAATCAGACAAGCAATCTAAGTTAATTATGCCAATCTAACAGCCAATTGTAAAAAAAATGGCCTTAAAACGGTCAATGTCTTGGCCCTGCATACAAATGTAACTTATATTGTAAAACTTTTGCATTCCAGCTACTTTTTCTCCGTAGAGTTTCCTTACTGAAAATTCTTACATCTGATTCCGTATTTCCATATTCTATCCCTACTTCAAGTATTGTGCCAAATTATCCATAAGTAAATGTCAGTGTGTGTTTAGTGTTGACTTATGAACCCCCATCTTGATTCCCCTAGTTTTACCCCGCCCCCCTCCCCTCTTTTCTTTGGAGCCCTGTATGTATAATTAGTAATTTATATTACAATAGTGTTTCCCTTAAGTTATGTCCCTTTGACAGCCAAATTTTTATTTTTAAATCTTTTTTGTTTGTTTATTTTCTTGTGGTTTTTAATAATCTAAAACTTTTTTATCGATTTTGATGTTTATTATCGTTAGAACTGACGAGACCGAAATATATTTTCAATAAATGTGGAATTATCATTTACTTTTTTTACTCTACAGAGGTTTGGTTCATCACCATCACCGAATTTTAAAACAATAATATATTCTTTGCTTGTCTGTCTTTCTGTTGGTATCCAATAAACGTTAAAACGGCTGAACTGATCAGGCTCAAATTTGTTGTGGGACCTCATAAAATTCGATTTTTCATTGAATTTTGAAAATCCACGGACTTTTTTTATAAAATCCGCGAACTTTTTTTTTCAATGTATTCAAAGAGAAAATGTTAACCATTGAAAAAAAAGATTGGCATGAAGCTTTAGGTTGTAAAAACAATCTGTACAATTGTAAAACTGCAGAGAAAATATCATATCGTCCCAGGAATTCAGAAGAAAGTATGTGTGTAAAATCTTTTAGAAGAAATGGATTAAAATATCTTTTTAGTCAAGGAGTTTTGTTTTTAAAAGAAGAAAAACTAAATATTTAAAACAAACAAATGAACTAGAGTCCACCAAATTTGTCCAATTTTACAAATTGTTAACAGGTCAAATATTTTAAAATGTAAAAGGAGAAAACATCATTTATAAAAGATTTTTGATTTTTTTTACAGGGGTCAGTATTATATAAAATATATTACAATATATTTAGAAGTTAAATCGTTAAAACCTTTTTCGCTTTTTTATGCCAATAAAAGAAAGAGTTCTAAATTTAATTTCAAGGAAAACATGAAAATTTACTGCTTTTGTCAAATAACATGATTTTCACAAAAAAGCTATTTTTTAAACATTGTTTTCTTTATCTTGAATATTGGATACTTAAAACTGGACATTTACAATAATGATGTCATTTTAAGCAAGATAAAAACTAGTAAGTTGCTTTTTAACTCATTAACGACAGTAATACTTCTAAAACAAAATTTTTCAAAAAAGGTTGT